AGCGCTTCCCTGGTCCAAAACTTTATATGCCTCTGTGCATATAAAGTTTATATGGTTAGAATGAACATTCTAAAGTTGTGGAGTTTCACTTAGGGTTTTCTACTTTCCCTGTCAATCACAGTCAATCACTGTACCACCAGAGAAAGAACAAAAACTGTGACTGAGTTGAAACTAGAAGAAAAGAAAATACTTAATATCCCGACTATATACTTCCTAAGATACAGCGACAGACCTGGCTGTGAGCCAGGTGTGAGGAGTGGCCAACACCTAGCGCCTGTGTGAGCATGCCTGTGAGTTCTCCTGGTGACATCGTCAGAAAGGGTGCCGCTGCTCCTGTGGTTTGCTGCCTGTGTCCACAAGGAGAGGCTGCAGGCTCCTAGTAAGTCAGTGAAAGTGAGGGGGTAACCTTTTTCTTTCCTGATGTGCTACACCTTGGCTCTCTGGTGAAGTTTGGCCACCTGTGCCTGTGGGGCCACCAGATATGAGAGCTTTTCTTTCTTTTTTTTCAATGACTGAATAAAGAGGAGGAGCATACCAATTCTTTTTTAACATGAGCGGGTTGATAGGAAGTGTCCACAGACAGCTTTGTTGGCACGTGGCCATCCATCTTGAATGTTGTATTGTCTGTGCTGCTTTCACACCGCACTTGCTGAGCCTAGGGGCCGGATAGAGCCAGACCCACTCATGCTCTGGCCTTTATAGGAAAAGTCTGCTGCTTCTTGTTCCAGGGAGTCCATGACCCTGGGATGAACCGTTGAACTCAGCAGCCATTATGCCCTTCTTGAAGTTGTCTAAAGCACGTGTGTGCTTGAACATCTTACATCTTTTTCTGAGAAAAGGGTCACTCTATTTCACTGAATTCCCCAAAAGGCCTATTTCACATCCATCAAGAGATTAACACATACTGTATCTGGGAAGTTTCCAAACAGCTCAGTCACCTGCACCAAACAAAGGGAAAACCTATTAGTCGAGAACTGACCCTTTTGATAGTTAGGACGATTATTAGGGCGAACAAGCAATTTAGGGGCAGGACATGCTGCTTGATTCACTCACCACAATCTGATTATCAAAATACTCAGGTCCCTTAGGGAGATGAGTCCTCTTTAAAGTTCAGTGTTCAGCAGAAAAGACAGGGAGAGCCAAGGCCATCTTCCGTGTAAGCAGATCTCCTCCCCAGGGTGCTAACCCAGCTCTGGGGTGGCGTCTCTATCAGGTCTGCTGACGGCTCCCTTCCAGCTCCTTTGGAGCAGCCTTTGTTCTGAGGCAGTGCAGACCGGCATGGCTCTTCGAAAAGCTTTTTGGCAGCTTCACCCCAGCTGGCAGGGAAAACAACAGGGCAATGTTTTGAGATGCGTCTTTTTGCAAGGTAAGCCAGGATGAAGTCAGGGATAGAGGACTTGCAGAGGCAGCTGGGCATTGGTCCAGGGCCTGTCGGGTGTGACCAGGAGGCCATGAAGCAAGTTCACTGTCAAGAGCTTTGATATCACAGCAATTTGCCCAGACTGTTTGGTGGCTGTGGGCCAAGCCCTGGCAAGCCCTTAGCAAGATTACTACCTTTTCCTAATGGTCACAAACAAACAGAACTTTCAGTCAGCTACCCCTCAGGAAACTGTACTAACCTTTGAACGGCCTCTGTTTCATTTTGGAAGAGTGACAAGCCACTGCTGATTGGTACAAATTACTGGAATTGTGACCAGTTATGTCACTGAGTTACATAGGTTTAGCTCTGTAACACCTAGAATTCTGATGAATATTTGAAATCCAGAGCTCCCTCAGCAACAAATGAGAAGAGTGTCCCCATTTTACTCAGGGTCCCAGGTATGAATGTGTGGTTTTTAGGGTCACTGTATGGTCCTCTGTAGACTGGCTGAAGAAAGGAACAAGAAGTCTAGAGGGAAAGCGTGGGAAGGTTTTCATGGGCCAGCGTGGGGGTACGTATGTCACTTGCGCTCACCCTCGGTTTCGCAGACTGTCATATAGCCACACCTAACTCCAGGGAGGGTGGCTTCTCACTGCGGGGCTGCCCCGCTGAAAAGTCGGCACCGTCAGCTTTGGTCTTCCAGTCCCCCGGGGAGCTGAAGGGATTCCACTAACTTATCTTCGGGGCATGCTGTTCATGCTTCGGTTATTTACAGAGCCACAACTCTGTGCTCAGTGCTAGGACACAACCGTGGCAAGACAGCTCCATCACCGAGTTCACAAAGTGAAGTCAAGAAACGAGAAATTTTTCTGTGGTTTACTCTAAGCCACGCACTGTGAGACTCAGGAAGACTAGAGAAGGATTCGCCCTAGGTTTGTGCTGGATGTGTGGTAGAAGGAGAGGATCAATGGAGGACTGACTGATCTCTAAGTGAGGCCTGAGTCCCTTAGGTGTGGCACATTTTGGGCAGGGCTGCCTATCTGTGTCGGTAGGTCCATGCGAGCTCGGGTGCCCACAGAGGCCAGAGGCGTTGGATTCTTCTGCAGCTGTGTCTGCCGGTGGCTGTGAGCCAACCAGGGTGGCTGCTAGGAATGAAACTCAGGCTGGCTGATGGGCAGTGCATGCTTTAACCTCTAAGCCATCGCTCCAGCCTCTTGATGGACTTTAAACATTCCGCCCAAACTGCTGAATCCCGGCTGAACACTTGATGCTGCAGGGTGTAGAGCATCTTTCCCCGCCTCAGGTTTTATAGTGTATAAGTGCAGAGAATAAAGTGGCATGTGTATGTTTAAGACCTTTTCAAACAATCGTTGGAAGCGCCATCATAATTCAAATTCATCGAACAATTTCTTTTATGAAACCAAGCTACCAGTTCAAGTAACACTTTTGTGTGTGCAGTTGTGTGTGCGCTCGTGGGTTTGTGTGCAGGTGTTCACAGCTGGCTCTTTTACCTGGGTTCTTGTGACTGGACTCAGGTCCTCAGGCTTGCAAGGCCAGTAATATTTACCAGCTAAGCCATCTCCCAGGCTCTTCAAATAACAATTTTCAAAATAAATTATTCAAACACGATGAAACTCAGAGATGCACTAATTTCATATATACATGCTAAGGAATGCATGTATATAGTACATACATATACATAGTAAGGAGATAATACATTTTTTTACCTTCCACAATGAAATCACGATATTTCTAAGTGAACAAAAACTTTGTGCAGTAAAAATGCTGTTTGTAGCACACAGTAGTCTCGACTAAGCCGAGTGCTGCACGCAGAATTTGTTGGTGTGTGGCGTGATGGCACTCACAGGGCAGCATGAGCGTCTTGTGTTTGCCACAACACACCCTGAGGCACAGCATGGACAAGCTGGCTGGAAACACCTCGGGCCCCTTCCGTGTTTGGTTTTGAGCTGGAATGTGACCATGTCATGCTCAGGCGCTTGTCAAAGTGACCAGTATTTTTTCATGGCCCCACATTCAGTTCGGCCATGACCCGTAGCGTAAGAAGCCGAGGTCCAGAGGAAGTGCTGTTGACAAAGGGTGTGACAGAGGCAAGATACCCCGGGACGGGACTCTGAGGGGACCCGTGTTTAGGAGGCAGGGGAACGACAAATTCGAAGGAAGGGAGTGTATGGGGGGGGCCACTGTGTCCGGGAAGGTAATCCTGGTCGTCCTCCCTTCCCACCCTGCTTTCCTCTCTGACCCACCTGTTCATTATGCTGAGGGCCGGTTCCCAGGCGCGTGCTTCCCCCTTGGTGCACTCGCCCAGCACCTGCTCTTTTCTGACACGTTCCCTTTGCTTTTTATTTCTTTACATGGGCCATGAGTTCGTCGCTGCAAACCACTCTTTGGTTAGCTGATCCTGGTAGAGAAAGCAATGCCATTCAGGGTGGCCTCTCCGTGCTTCTCCAAGCTTGATTTCCCATCCCTAGTACTCATGCGCCCTATGCTTCATCTGTATCGAATTACCTGATTGTATTATTTTCTCCTCCCTCTTTGACGTCTCTATGTTTCACCCTCATCTGCCCTTCTTTTCCCACTAATATCTCCACTAAGTTAATCTAATTGTTTCTTTTTTCTCTGATGTCTTTATCACCACCCCCCGTCCCAGAAAAGGCCTATTTCTCTCAACTCCCATAGCCATTTCCGCGCTCCTCGCCACTGTAGACTTCTTCTTGAGTCAGCTCATTGTGCCCACATCACAGGTCCAAGGAACGATGTGCTTGGTGACCTGGCTGTGCTCTCCTCCCTCCTCAACTGTTCGGCCACCCAGGGAGCCCCTGCAGCACACGGGGAATGAGTCAGCCTCACCAGTTTCTGATGCTGAGCCACCTGCTGTGGCCTGTGTTCTCCCAAAGAGGACGGATCACTGAGCCAGAGAAAGCAGCTGGCCGAGTGAGTGTCCCCAGGGCTCAGCTCTTTGGAAGGCCGAGAGCTCGTAGATTGATCTGAGGAACCTGTGAGGTGTCGGGACGGCGGCCGTGGGTCCTTCTGTTGCTTCTGTCAGGAGCAGTGTATCGGAGCCCAGAAATGTGCGGTGACTGTTGTAGCCTCTGCCATAGCCACGTAAACAGAGCCAGGCGTGGGAGATCACCGGGGGCCTTTTGGAAAC